CCCCCCACCCTTTCCTTGTTGAATGTCTAGAGAATTGCTATGACAGTGCCTTTTACAAGTGCAGTTTGTCCTCTGGCTATGAGGATCAAGTGGCCACGGAGAAGGCATCTCCCTCACCTCCTTGGACAGTGGGAACCTTGTGCAAAGACTAGATGGTTCTACGTTTTTTTACCCCCCTCCCCTTCCTTCCTTCCTTCCTTTTTTCCCCTGTGTGTGGCCTTTGCGTCATTTACCTTTATGGAAGAGAAGATTCAGGCTATAGGGAGACCCCAGCCCTACGAAGTTTATGTGGGACTTTCCTCCTGCCCCACCCTGCCCCAGAAACCCACGCTAGCAAGACTGGAGGTAATACTCACTGGAGACCTAGAGTGGAGGGTTGAGGTGGGTAACCCCAGACAAGCACAGACTCCAGTTCTGCACAGGCCAACAACTCTCCAGGCCACTTCCCCACCCCTAACAGGCCAAACAGAGACAGGACAGAGGCATCTAGAAGCACAAGAGAAATAAAGTGGACCCCACTCTACCTAGTGGACCACCTATTGGGGCAGACCTTACCTACCTGGTTTTCCTCATGTGTACATAGATGGGGGAGGGAAGACCAGAGTATTGACTCGGGTAAGTGAGATCCTGAGCCTGTGGGTCTGTTTGCACCGTGTCCTGAGTCTGAGGTCCTGTGACTGTACCCTCCTGTCCTGGGTCATTTGTATCTCTTGGTTTTGTAATAAATGCTGCATACTCTCTTGAGCCTGTGGTTCTTTGGGGCAGGGGGAGGAGGAGGGTGAATGAAGATGCTCCCTAGCCCCACCATGCTGACTGGAGTGGATCAGAACTGCCCCACTTTGGCCACCAGATACCCTCTGCTTCCACAGATCAAACTCTAGCAGGAGGTAGTGTGAGCCTTGCCAGTGACCACAGGGACACTTAGAGGGTGGGCCTCATTGTTTAATGACAGCTTTACCAGGTATTGAACCAGGCTTGGTTCACAACACACTGAACAGCAGGAGGTCACAGGTTCTTCAGGAACAGTTACTAAAAAGCAGTGGTGGTCCTTGGATGCCCCCTTCCATGCCTTCACAGAGGGGAAGCCTGCAGAAGGCTGGGAGCCAGAGTACCCCTCAGAGTGGGGATCCCACTTCTGCTTTCTGTACTTGCTCACTCTTGTGGGTACCATCACAATAAGGAGGACGCTTGGTGGCCTTGCAGGTACATAGGGCCACTGTGCGGGTCTCTTGGGCCTTGAACTTGAGTGGGGAAAGGCCAGTGCGCTGGAAGAAGTGGGAGCCATCACAGAAGGGCTGGTGGGAGAAAAAGAAGTCAGTGGGGAGGGAGGAGAGTTGGCCACAATTGTTTCCCCCAGCCCTGCAATGTGGGGGTCACAGGAAGGCTAACATGCAGAAATAATGGTCACTGAACAGTGCTATAAGTATTTCTCATTGTTCGCCTTTGGGAAACTCAGATAGCCAGGACAATTTGCCAGGGGAACTGGGCCTCGGGTAGAGGCAATGTTAATGCAAACAAAATTAGAGTTTTTTGTTGTTGTTGTTCGGCTTTTACATTTTTAAAATTTGGCGTGCGTGCGTGCATGTGCATGCAGGCACATGCTTGTGCGTGTGCACACACGGAAGTCATAGAGCAACTGTGGGGAGTTGGTTTTCTCTTTTTACCCTGGGGATCACACAAATCAGCAAGGTGTGACAAGTGCCTCTAGCCATTGAGCATTTTACCAGCCCCATTCTTTTGTTCTTAGATAATTCTCATGTAATCCAGGCCTACCCTGAACAGGCTATATTGCCTGAGGATGACCTTTGAACTCTTATCCTCCTGCCTCCCCCTTCCAAATGCTAGGACTACAGATGTGTGTCATCATACCCTGTTTATTCTGTGGCGGGGACAGACTCCAAGGCTTCCATGCACAATAGACAAACGTTCTATCAACTGAGCTATATCCCCAACTTGGTTTGTTTGTTTGTTTGTTTATTTGTTGTTTTTCGAGACAGGGTTTCTCTGTGTAGCTTTGGAGCTTATCCTGGCACTCGCTCTGGAGACCAGGCTGGCCTCCAACTCACAGAGATCTGCCTGCCTCTGCCTCCTGAGTGCTGGGATTAAAGGAGTGTGCCACCAACGCCCGGGCCCCATCCTGTTTTGTGTAGTTTTATTTTTTAATTGCTAAGTGAATCCCCACTGACTCATGAAAGTGACATTCTTCTCAATGTTCCCCTGGGGGTCAATCTTGCTTGGTTCTGTCTGTGACAACCTGCCCACCTGGAGTAGCATTATTAATGTATGCACCATCTCACTCTCAAGATGCCTTCAAAACAGACAATGATAAAGACTGAGGCCAAAAAAAGAGAGAGGCTTTGGTAGGGGCAGAATGGAGGAGAGACAGAGCAGTACCATGCCTAAAGGGCAAGGAGCTGGCATGTGCACCTACCCCACCCAGTTCTCTGGCTGGCATGCCCTTGAAACTGCCCCACCCTCTGAAATATCTGTTCAAAGGCCACAGCAAATCTTTGGCAAAGTAAGCCTTAGGATGTGGGTTTCTCATAGCAGTCACAGCATGGGGAACAGTGCACAGTTCTCCAGAAAAAGAGAGTGAGGCTCCTGCTACAGTGCAAGATGGCAGGCAAACAGAAGTCACATCCAAGGTAAAAAGAGCCTGAGAAGAGTCCTGGGGAGGGACACTGGGGAAGACAGGGCAAAATCTTCCCAGGAATGAGGTCCAAAGCCTGGCACATGGGCAGAGATACTACCTATGAGGAGGAGGGAGCGGGGAAAGACAAGTCCCTGGTACCCTGGAGCCCTGGAGCTGGAGCCCAGAAGTGCACAGGGGAAGAAGGTCTGCAAAGAGAGGAGATTGAAGCCAGTTACAGCAAGGGCAGTTACTGGAGAGACACACCATGAACAGGTCTTTTGGTATCAAACACACGCGCACGCGCACACACACCCACCATTGTATCCCAGGTATATACAGAAAGATGGGAAATATGGACGGACCCCAAGCAAGAGACAGGGTGGGGATGGGATGAATGTGTTGCATCTCCCATCCAAGTACTAACCAGGCCTAACCCTGCTTAGCTTCTGAGTGAGGTCAGGCTTGTTCAGCGTGGTACAACTATAGAATTGTGTCCATTTAAGTGAAAGGAAACAGGAACAACTCACTTGCTTCTTGCTTCGGCCACATACACACCATCTGTAGGTTTTCCCGGCAATAAGCTCCAACTTGATGGGTGTTTTCTGTGCCACCACGGGTTTGGCTGGGTCCCTGGGGAACCATCGAGCCTATGGCCAGGGAAGATAAGAAGAGGCTTGGGGTCATCCCAAGCCTTGGAAGTTCTATAAGTTTGCATGATCTCGGCTACTTTTTCAAACCCTCAAGCGGCTGTCCTTGCCTCAGTCTAGAAGCCTGGCTCCTTGCCTTCTGCCCTCTGGTCCACCAAACCTTCCCTAGAGCCTGCTGAGAGCAGGGGTGTCCCTTGTCGCTGTCTTCGATGTAGTTCTAAGATCTAGGGAATTGAGGGAATGTGTGTGTTGAAGGAAGAAGGCATTGGGCGTACTCACCAGCCAAGAGGAGATTTCCCGCCTCTGGCACAGCTTCAACAAGGCAGGCAGGCAGAAGTGATTTGGAAACAGAAAAATAAAATCAGTGGAGAAGGGAGGACGCCGGAAACCCATCTGGGAAGGAAAAGACCACAGGCTAAGGCGTGGGAGCGACAAAAGGGTTGGAAAAAGGGTCGCAGTAGAGGAAGGAATCTTGGCGTCCACTCGTTGATCCCTCAGGAAAAAGGACTACCCCAGGGGAAACGCGGCCGAGGGGCGGAGTCTGGCCTGGCCGGGGAGGCGGGGCTGGACGTCCCGGGGGTCACCAGAGAGAGCACGCTCACCGAGGCGCCGCGCATGACCACAGCGTGCAGGCTCGTCCCCACGCCGCGCATCGCCGCTCTGCGCATCGCCGCGTCCGGGTCGCCACCCCCTCCCGGAAGACGCCACCCGGCCCGGGGCTGAGAGGAGCAGGCCGAGCAGCCCTAGAGCCGGCAGGTGCCGCCCTGGCCCTGCCGAGTCGAAGGCAGTGTGTTTCAAAGCACATGCAGTGCGGGGATGTGTGACCCAGCAGGGCTCGGGTGTCTGCATCTTCGCCTGCACCGCATATTCTGTGCATTCCGGTTTGAACCATTCCTCCAAGTACTTAAAAATAGGGTCACTGACCAGACCTGCCCGGTCCTCCACCCACAAGCCCCCACAGTTGTTAACCCATCTCCCGCCCTTCAGTGAAGCCAAACAAAGCAAAGTCTCTGAGGTTTTTTTTAGTAAAACATTCTTTTATTAAAAGAACAAGTGCTGTTTACGAACTGCCCTTCGTACAAATAACATCCGTTATACAAAGATACAAGACCCAGGCTATGCACAATTCCAGGCTTGGAGGTCGCAAGGGAACACTGCCGCTTGGGCTGAGGATATAAAGGTTTCAGAAAGAATGAAAAATGAGCCCCTGGGTTTGCAATCTGTGGCTTCCCTTCCTCGCTCCCCTAGGAAGGGTCTGCTACATGGAAACAGGCTGGGATGGAAGGAAGGGAGCCAGAGTTCGGTCTTCAGTGCCAAGTGAACTGGAAAAAGTGAACACAGGAGAGTGGGGGCAGCCCCCAACTCTTCAGTAGGTCAAGACAAGGTGGTCTGGTGGAAATTCTAAACACAACTGCAATCCAGGAGGAAGTGGCTGGAGGGATCAGAGGGGCTCCCTGACTCCACCTTCCTCCAAGACCCTGGCGAAGTTACCTCCATCCTGGGCACCTCTCCCCAAGAACCAGCTGCCTGCTATTCCCTTTGGCCCACTGCACTTTTAAAAGATGATGGCGGAAAGTAGCAGGGGGAGCCTGTGTCTTCAACAACCTGTCCGCATTGCCAGTTTGGGAAAGGGAAATGTAAGTGTTAGCCTTTCTTTGGGCTCCCCTCATTTGCCTAGGCCCTTCCTAGGAGTCTAGGGTGGGCACTTCCTGGGTCTCAACATAGGAAAGGGAAAGGTTCATCGGCCTCAAGATCAGGGTACCTAGGGGCAGCAGTAGACCCAGGAGCCTGAGGGGAAAACCCACAAGCTGGGATGAGGGAGAAGGTATGGGGAGATACAATTTATTTTTTTAAAGGCAACCCTTAAAGTGTCATTGTCTATGGAGAGGATTCGTCAGCTCAGAGCTAAGACAGTCAGTGCTACATAGATTACCTTCCCACCATGGGCACAACCCTACACTCACAACCACACCATCATACACACACACCACACACACAGGGACAGCCAGCCAAACAGCTGCAGCTAAAAGGCTGGCAATGGAACAGGAATGACCAGGCTAGGTACTGTGGCTTATGACCGCTGTCACCAAGTACCTGTCCCTCCTAGGCTTAGAGCAGTCACCTGTAAAGCCAGCTCCAATGACCCGTAAATAGAGCTGAGTCCCTTCTAGCACTGAAATCCACTAGCTGTAGCCCCCCTCCCCTTGGTGGGCACAGACTCAGCTCGCACTACTCACTCATCTCTTCTCACTGAGGGCGGTGACATTAAGATCCACTCATGCGTTCTCAGACTCCACTTCCGCTCTGCAAACCACATCCTTCCCCTCCCCCAGACAGAGATGGCCCCAAATCTGCATCCTTCCCCTCACTCCACCAAAGCTCTTTATCAAAAAATGGACCAAAGCCAGACATGGTGGCACACACCTTTAATCCCAGCACACAGGAGGCAGAGGCAGGCAGAGCTCTGTGATTTTGAGGCCAGCCTGGTCTACATAGCAAGTTCCAGGATAACCAGAGCTACATAATAGAGTAGGCCTTGTCTGGGGGGGAGGGAAGGACCAAGACTGGAAGATGTGAGGTCATCATGGCCATTCTGCAGTATTCTGTCCCCTTTCGAGGATCACAATTTCCCCTGAAGTGTCACAGCTTCCCTTGTGTCCCACCATAAGAAGCAACACCACCAAGAAGTGGTGGCAGTGCATGCCTTTAATCCCAGCTCTCAGGAGGCAGAGGCAGGCAGATCTCTGAGTTCCAAGCCAGCCTGGTCTACAGAGAGTTCCAGGACAGCCAGGGTTACACAGAGAAACCTTGTTTCAAAAAAAAACAAAAACAAAAAACAAAACAAAAACTAAAAAAGAGCAGCACCAATTCATGCAAGGCCCAAGAGCTCTCAGCAAATCTAACCTGACTACCTGCTAGCTAGTGCATCCTGGCCCAAAGTAGGAAAAAGAGCTCCGGAAAGTTGAGACCAGAGTTCCAGAGATCAGAGTGACTGGAGCCAGGAAGCAGCTGGTCCAGGGTACCTACAGCTCCTGTTCCACATGTGATGACTCTCCAGACATCTCAGCAGAGGCTGCTTGGCTCTGAATTTGGCTGGGGCAACGGGGTGGGCATGGATGAGCAAGTCATCTAAGAATCTAGAGAATCACTGGCTTTAAAACAAGGAGTTAAAGAGCTGAAAAGATGAAAACGACGTCTTTCTGATATTAAACAGTTAGAAAAGTGAGTATTTCTGACGTCATCCCAACTGTCCCTAAAAAAAAAAAATCCTTCCTAGTGCCAAAGAATTTGCCGCTGAGGATTCCCAACCCACCCTAATATCTTACAAAGTCTTATCAACGGGAATATTAATAGTATTTTCCATATCAGAAAAAAAAGTTGAGCAGCACAGGCAAAAATATATCTGCACTATGTTTCTGTCATTGCCAAAAATATACACATCTTTTTTATTAAAAAAAAAAAAAAAAAAACCAAAAAATCCCAATAACAAAACCTAAACAGAAACACACCAAAATGCATACATGCAAGAGACCCACAGACGTGAACATTAGGAAGAACTGGAACTGACCCTCAGTCCCAGCCAGTGCAACCAAAAGGAACACAGGCCTCCATGGCTGCACTTCCATGTCCCACTCAACAGCCTTGGGCAGACTGACTCTGCCACCTACTACTACACCCTGGCAAATAGCTGGTGGGTGAAAGGGACAGTTGTTAGCTTAAGTGGCTCTATAGCTGGTGAAAGTGGACTTAAGAGGCAGGCTAGCTACCTCTGAGGAGGAGACTTTCGCTAAGTGGCATTTTACCCCTCCCCTAGTCTCTTGTGCCAGGAAAGACCAAACTACTTGGGGGAGGAGGCCGTGAGGGGGCCCTGAAATGGAGTGGGGTCCAGAGGAGGGAAGGTAGGATAGTACCCTGATTCAGAGCCCCAAGCCCCCAGGAATGCTCCAATACTGGAGTACTGTATTTTAAGTTAACCATTCATGCCCTGGAAAAGGACCAGAGCTGGTTGGGGGATAGAGGCTACAAGAGCTAGAACTCCTGCTCTGGTCCTGGCCACCAGCCTGTCCTTACCTTTGGCTGCCCCAGATCCAGAGAAAGAGGTGACACATAGACAGGTTAAACAGACTGACCATTCAACACACACACACACACACACACACACACACACACACACTCTCACACACTCACGCACATACGCTCTCTCATGCTCTGTGGAGTCAGGCAGCTCCCTCTCCCCACCCTCGGCACTCCTCAAGCCAATAGTGCAAAAAGGGGCAGGACACCAAGGACAAGGGGACTTCCCCCTGCCCAGCCCCATCATGGGGCCCCAATAGGTGCTATCCTGCCCTTCCTCAGCCCCCCACATCTGTAGGCTTTTCCAAGCTCAGCTTGTGACCCTTAGTGGGAGGGATGATGAGAAACAGTCAAAGGGATCCCTTCTACTGGGAAGAAACTGAAGGTCACCTGGGACCAGCCCTTTTTCCATAAGGAATTTCCACACAGGGATAGGTCCAGGGGCCCACCCTTCACCTTCCCCATTCAAGTGCTGACTAGTTTATGTGGTAGGTCCAACCAACTCTCCACTTCCTATGCCATGACCTACTTTGCTCTTTGGGGGGCCCCTAGGCATCTGCAGAGGATGGGGGCTCCTAGGCAGGCTTGGAGCCTGTCTTCCCCTGATCCTCTCTCCTGAAACAGCCAGTGCAGTGAGGGAATTGGCCAGGTGGAAAGGCTCCCTCCAGTCCCTCTCCACAGCACCTGGAACTCTAGGCACACACTCTCTGGGCATCAGCACAGGCTCTGCACCTGGCTCTGAAGAGTCTGGGCCCAGGTACCCATTCCAGGCAAGGCCCCTCAAGCCACGTAGGGGTCAGGAGGGGCAGGGGCAGGTTAGCCTTTTTCCTGGCTGGCTGAGGCTCCTTTGTCAGTGGCCTGGAAAGACAAGAAGGGAGGCTTTGAGTGCTGGAAGCATCTGGCCCTAACACCCAGTTAGGATGGAAAAGGCTGCTGGAGGACTAGAGTATGAAGTAGCCAGGCCTCTGCCTAGCCTGCAGTGTGTGAAGTGAGGAAGTGCCTAGCTTGTACACAAAACTGGCTTCTTGGACTCAGCGTAGTCCTCCAAGGAAAGAAGGCTTTTTCTTCTGTCGTTGGCCCACCCAGAAGATCATCTTTTTCCAACTGCCATATGCAAAAAAGAAATGTCCTTTTCTAATTGCTCCTCCCGTTGGAAAGCTGTTTTCTTTTTAAAAAAGAATTTTTAAAAAAATCACATTTGTGTGTGTGTGTGTGTGTGTGTGTGTGTGTGCATGCATGTGTACATTAATGTGTGTGTATGTGTACATTAGTGTGTGTGTGTGCATGCATGTGTACATTAATGTGTGTGTATGTGTACATTTAATGTGTGTGTGTGCATGCATGTGTACATTAATGTGTGTGTGTATGTGTACATTAATATGTGTGTATGTGTACATTAGTGTGTGTGTGTGCATGCATGTGTACATTAATGTGTGTGTGTGTGTACATTAGTGTGTGTGTGCA